TCTTCATTAACAAAGAGAGGAGGATGGAGGATGTTTTTACATCTGCAGTAGCAGTCCAAACTCCCAAGTCCATACTCCAAATTACACAAGTCCGTACTTGGTGTACTTGGTATTGAGAAAGGCCCTCTGTCACCATGCTTGAACCTCCTGGACTGAACACCAGAGTGGAGTAGAGAGCCAAAACAAAGCCTGAAGAGACACCACTGTGTCCTACAACACACACACACACACACACACACACACACACACACACACACAGTTGTAGTGATTGCTGCATGTGCATCCTCAATTAAAGGAAAACCAATTCTGCTCCTGTATGACGAAACTGCTCTGTGAATTATGCTTCAAGGTAATTTGTTGTGGATTCAATTTGCTCTTGATGTTTCACAAATACTTTTCAAATGAGTCAGCAGAAGTTCACATGAGTCCACAGATGTTAGCTGAGGGTGGAGGGTTGGGGTCGAAAGACACAGGGCTTTCATCCAGGAGACTGTTGTTTACATCCCGTGTGAACCAAACACTTTTGTTGCCTCAAGATAATGTCGGTTTCTGTTTTGTTTCATCTTTGGACAAACCATGATGTTTTGTCGTGTTTTTTGTTTTGTTTCAATTTACATAATTTAGCTTTATATCATTTTTCAAATTTTTGTTTAAACTGCGGCAATAGTCATGGAGAAAATATGCGTTCCTCGAAACGTAATTGAGAATGCATTTTAGTTGTGTGGGAATGTAATTTTGTCAGCGACAGGGTTGTTCCAGACCACAGACTGTATATAAGAAGTGGACGTAGTCATGGTGACGTCACCCATTGGTTTATGGACTGATGTTTTGAAGCCTCGAGTTCGGCTAGTTTGACGTCGCCATCTTGGATTACGGCCGTCGTTTTTTTGCAACCAGTGAACAGGAAGTGACCATATTTGGACTGAGGAGGAGTGACGTAGAGACGCTGTATACGTCTCTGGTAGAGACCTGTCAATCACAGTAAGCCCCGCCCTAAAGCATCCCCTGCTTTATGGTCTGTTTGAGTCATTTTCTCATAGACTTCTATACAACCAGAGGAGTCACCCCCTGCTGGTCAGTAGAGAGAATGCAGGTTTTAAGACAAGGTTGCCGCCTGGTCCAGACCATTCTAACTCACACAGACTCCGCCTTCTTCTGGACTCAATGGGTAATACTCTTCTCCAATCATGAGCATGCATTCGCCCACTGAAAATGTGCACAAGCGTATCTGGCTAATTAGGACGTGCCTATCCCGCCTGTGTTTGTAGAACTAGGGTTACAATATGGTAAACCTTCGAAACATCTCAGCGACTGTTGGATGGATTGCCATGAAATTATACACTATTATATAATAACTCACGACTATATACTCATGAGTTATTATTTTCAAGGTGTTGCATACGAGGTTGGAAGCATTTTGATTTCTTCTCAACATGGCGACTGCTGAGCTAAGTCAACAAAGCAAGGACAAGCTCTGGTAACAACACACACAGAGGGAGAGAAACATAACTCCACTATGTCTTTACATAGATGATAGTTGTTGATGAGAAAATAATGCTTTTAATGTCAAATTTTAATCCATTTCCCAGTTTTCTCTGCTACAGAATGTTGTAAAACAATTAAAGCGTTATCACAGCGTGTGCAAAAAAATATTTGACAACCTTCAACTCAGGTTTACCGAAAGGGACTGTGGTTGTACTATCGACTGATTAAACACATAGGCCAGGGTAAAGGGCACAACCTTATAGATTTCACCTCATTGTGTAACTTCTGGTCAATTCCACAACTGTTGGTTGAGACTGGGTCACTAGTCTAGTAGTGTTTTTTTTAATAGAAGATGGAGGTTTTCATACACTCAACTTAGTGTCCAGTGTAATGAGCCTGAAATGCACTAAGATAAAGCTTTCTCATGCAACAGATGACTGAACATAATAAGGTATCACATTTCTAGTCAGCAATACCACTGCTAATATATTACCGATAAGCTTTTATCCACCGCATGGTTCACCATTTGAACATTTTAGTGGTGAGCCAGCAGCAATAGGAAGCGTTGGGCTTGCATTAAGACAGCGACTGTAGGAGAGTGATCAGAGAGTGTTATATCAAGTAGATTAAATTACAAACACTAATGCATGCATCATTTCCTTTGAGTCTCTTGTGGATGTGTTGGTCATTTGGATCTTGTTTGGACAAGGCGGACTCCACCAGTAACAATGAAAGCTAGAGAGGCAATGGTTACAGCAGAAAAAATGATGACCATTCAAATCAGAACACAAACGGGGGAAAACATATAATAACTGGTTATGATTGTTGCAGGTTTTTCTAAGCAGGTAGATTGGTTGGACGAATTGTAATTGATTGATAGGCTTTCATCATGACCTTCCTGACTACTTTTGAGTAAAAAGTGTCGCCTCGCACCTCCACCTTGAACTTCTGCACCACAAGAGCTTGCGACAGAAAGATATCCAAATGTCTAAAATCTTGACGGAGTTTCCGACTTGAATGACAGTGGTAGTTTTTTCCCAGTACAGTGGATTGCAGCACTAGTGCATTTTACAACTTTTAGGACTCTAAATAAGGATTTAAATAAGGGCTATTCAAGTGTTCGTACTGAGAAGAAAAAAAACATTTAAGTCTATGGGGGAATCCCACTACGCATCTACACAATTATTTAATACAAACAAATTGAAAACAAGCTGGAACCTTTAATACCTTGGAAAATGTAATTTAAGACTTTGTATGACCCCATGGAAGCTTAGACAATAGGTTTACGGGATTGTGAGGAAGGCAAGGGTCAAAGTCCAGGTAAATCCAGAACAAGTAACAGTAAAAAAAACACCGGGACGGATACAAATGCATGCTGGAAGTCAAAAGGCATGAGAAACATGGCAACTTTGACAAAGAACATGTGGGAAAGGTTTGGTTGTAAACTGCCATCCCAGTATCTTGGTATTTTGAGAAGCACTTGTTGAAGTAAATATCATCCTTTTATTTCTCCACACCAGCCCAAAAGACTTACGGAGCAAATGGACCTGAGTTTGTTTTAACCGAACCAAACAGGTTGTGAAAGCACTTTAAGAAAACGTTCTAGAACCTTTCTGGTTGTCTTGACGCTCCCAGATCAGATTTGACCATCAATCCATCACCGGTTTCTACCGAGATTTTTCGTTTTCTTATGAGGGAATCATGCACGAGGAAATTACATTTGTTAAGAAGAGATGTTCCTCTGGCCCTCACCATGTTTCACCTCAGTTCTGTTTAGCACTTTATGTTGATGATGTCTGGTCCTAAAGTTTCAGGCTCTTCAGTTTGTTAATGCAACATTATAGCATTGCTTTAGTAATGCTTTTCCTGGTGCATTGATATCTAATGTATTTCCAGCTTCAGGTTGGTGTGTTTCTCCTCACCACTATTTATGGGTTGTTGGTTTTTTGCATCTGTTGCGCTAGAAGGCACCATTTGTGGCCATGTCTCTTCAATTTAAACGTTGTTTTGTACCGTTCCATTAGCATTGTTCTTTTCAGAGAAGCTTTTTCCTCACAGTTTACCACCACTTTCCGCTTTTCAAGGCGTGGCTGTTTTTGCTAATTTCTCTTTGGGGAGGGAGATCCAGGAAATGAAAAACATAATCTAACCCCATATACATTAGTCCTAATGCACCCGTGACTAGCAACACACTTCATTTCCAGTTACAAGGTTGACAAAGGATGCAGGTTGCATGAGCCAAATGATGATTGTTGGGTAGATATTGTGAATTCAGACACAGATTTAAAAGAATCAGTTGAGACAAGATGGAAATTATATGTGTAAAAATTTGCGTTATGGATATTAGTTTTCTACAATGACAGATTTTACCCACTTCACCTATACGAACCAAAATAGCAGGTTGTCATGATCTTGGGTTTTTGTTTAGTCTGTTTCCTGTTTTATTTTGAAGTTCCTGTGTCCTGTATTTGTTTGACTTCCTGTCTTTGTGGTTTCCCCTCTTTTTTTACTGTGTATCACCGGTGTTGTGTTTGTCTTGTCAGCTTTGCTCTGTTCCCTTTGTTTCTCTTTGCTTGTGGATTTTACTTCATAATTCATGTAGATATCACTCAATTGTCTTAATAAACGTGTAGTCCATACCTATATATTTTTTTAATCTAAAAAAAGATATATATTATATATTATTACTTCTTCCAGACCAGGTGGCAACCTTCAGTTTGAAAATGACTCCACTTCTCTCTTGATTTATTACCTCAGTAAACATTGTAAACATGAGTTTATGGTCTCAATCTCTAGTTTCAAGTCTTCTTCAATACAGCATGATGTTCATTTAGTACATTATGGTCCATTTAGAGTCACACAGACCATAAAGCAGGGGATGCTTTAGGGCGGGGCTACACAGTGATTGACATGTCTCTACCAGAGACGTATACGGCGTCTCTACGTCACTCCTCCTCAGTCCAGATATGGTCACTTCCTGTTTACCGGTTGCAAAAGAAACAAGATGGCGACGGCCAAAAGGTGGAACTCAAGGCTTCAAAACATCAGTCCACAAACCAATGAGTGACGTCACAAAGACTTCGTCCACTTCTTATAAACAGTCTGTGGACGAGAAATAAATGAGTCGGAGAAAAGCAATTTATTATGCGCTAAAAACAGAGAAGTAGACAGAAAAAACAGAGCTTTTAATCAAGAATGTACAGACTCATACATTCAACACCAAAGCAGCAGGTGTCATGTTCATAAAGCCAGTTTCCCACTAGACCGACTCCACTGGTTTAGCTCACTGGTTTACTTCTTAAATACAGTTCCAGAGATGCACATTGGACACTAATTATCCTCTGCAGAACACTGAACATTTTAATGTCTGACTGAAAGTGTCTTGCAAAAAACAACAACATATGACAGTTTTACATCAGCAATCCCCCACAGACCTCAGACCAGCAACAGTGTGTACCGTGCGGTGCAGCAGCACTTTAACCCTCCAGCTCCAGCTGCTTCCCTCATCTGGCCCTGCCCATCACACCGACTCTATGATCACTGCCATCGTCCACAGTCACGGAGGAGAAACGAACAAGTCAACGGTAGGACATTGAAATACATTTACACTCCACACACACACTGTGTTTATTCACTTATAACGGTGCATGAGACCTGTTGGATCAGTTGAAGGTTGCTTTCATGTTACATGTTGCGTGACAGCAGGGTTCAAACTGGGTTCCTGTTCCCATTAAAGTCTAATGGTTGGTCTCATTTAATGATTTTTTAGCTTGTAAAACTGCTCTTGGGCAGGGAAGGATCAATAATGATATTTAACATGGCGTATTAATCTGAATTTGCTCATGAACACTTTATTCCTTAAATCCACCTCCATGAACTAAACAGCCAGAACTGAATAATGTTTACATTTGTTTTTCATGATGAAAGGACTTTTGCATCATTTGGATCAAATGTAATAATAATAATATTTTATTTCCACACTATGACTGTACCATTTTGCTTTTTTGTCAAAAGCTGGATGAGGAAAATGCACATCTCTTTGTCTCTTCTCTTCCTCCTCATAGGTAAGCTGCAAATCTGAGAAAGTGGATTTTAATTTAAAACTGATAAAAGAAGATATAACATGTTATTTTTATTTTTTACAGGTATCGTGCATGATGTATGATTATAGCGGTTGATGTGAGCGGCTGTGGGCGGTTGAGTTTGTAGCTTTGAGATTCAGGAGGACACTAACAACATTTTAGTGGGCTCTGCTGCTCCTGTAACGAGCTGATCAATCAGCAGAACCGGCCTTAATCGGATCTGAGAGATTGGATTACATCACTGTTACACTATTGAGTTTCTTTCTGTTGTGCTCGTGTCCGTGTGCTTCTGTTGTTGTTGTTGTTGTTGTTGTTGTTGTTGTTGTTGTTGTTGTTGCTTTATCACCGATTGAAGAGTATTTGATCAAAAAACATGATGTCGTCCGGCTCTGATATTTTAAAGGTCCTTTAAAAGGAGTAATTAACCTTCTGGTTGACCGCCAGCAAAATATGTATGATAGCCAAAATAGATTTTTGATCCCGTTGAATTGTGCCATGAATTACACATATGATGTTTGTCAATTTAAAAGATAGCAAGCTAAGCTAATGGCTATGCTGGTGCTGGTGACGTCGTAGAAGATGTTGTTCACTGAAACTAAATGTTACTACGACAAAGTGAGACTTTCAAAATTATCTTTTAAATTGACAAACATCATATGTGTCATTAATGGCACAATTCAAACAGGATAAAATATATATCTATTTGTCTCTCACCTTGGACTACTCTTCATATTTTTTCCGAAATAAGGTCCAACACCGCAAGAGACTTCAGCTCTCAGGTTTGACTATAAAATACAGGGTTTGAGATGTTAAGGGTGCGTTTAACATCTGGTTGAAATAGAATCTTAACCTGACAACTCTTTAAACTATCTAACACTGTGGTAAGAGAAGTGGAATTGTGTGATGCACGTCTCAGAAACTATGACATGATTTTATAAGATACCATCTGTCTGCAGGTTCAACTTGGACCTTGAAGCAGGGGGATTTCGGCATTTTGACTGCATGCACCTCCAACAGCAGCCTCAGGTGGAAGCCCCCAGTCTCCTCATTAACACAGACCAGTTCTCACATTCAATCAACTTAACTTGCTATGCATTTGCTTTTGGCTTTGACCTTAAATAAAGTGTGCCTTGCAAATAAAAGTAACCATAAGATGTTTGATCTATTGAAGGTTGCAGTGCCGTTATGCATTATGTAAGGGTTCTCCGCCCTTCTCCTGTACGTTTTCGGCTTCAGACGGGTTCCTGCCGGCTAACCAATCCATGAATTGCAACATTACCATCCCGAACCATTTTGTGCTGTACGAACATAAACCCGTGACTTACAACTGCACACTGACGCGAAAGGTCAGGATGGAAGAGAAGCAAATCACCATCGACTACAGTATACGAAAAGGAAAAAGTGAGTATTACCTTCAAGTATTAAAAGTCTTTCCTCAGCACTGTGTGCCCAGCAGCAGGTTTGGCAGCCCTACTGTGGACACATTTTGTTAGTGAATGATTATTTATTATATTTATTTATTTGGATCGTATCAGCAAAAAAGAAAAAGAGGGAGCAAATATAACTTTTAAAGACCCACGATCACGTTTTTTTGCCGCTGATACTAATTACTGATCATTGATGATCCATATTGTTGTTTGATTATAGCAGCTGGTCTACAAGGATCCAGAATATTTATTTTATTTTTAGCCACCGTCCCAAAAATCATTTCAACGCTCTGAAGTCTGTAAACCATCAAAAATACAAAATGTTATACTTTTACTTTGTTATGTTAATTTAGGTGTTTTTTCAAATGATCAGGAAATAAAAGATTGTATTTTTATTGATTAAAATAAATCTCTTCATTATCATGTTTACTGATGTAAAATATTGTGTTTAGAGCTTGTGTTAGGAAGTTAAACAGCTCATAATTCATCTCTAATATCTGTTTTATATTATGTGAAAACATCTCCTTCAAACTACTGGATTTATTCAAGTTTATCACTGAAAATACATTTTACAGATGACATGTGAACACATCATGATAAAGTTATAATGTACCTTCAGCCAGTACTCACTGGCTGAATGTTCACTGAAGGCATCATAATGTAACTGAAGTGAACCTCCTGTTGGTTAGCC